TCATCTTCATGACAAAAGCACATAGAAACAGCTACAGATAGTCTGGGGAAAATAACCTTTCTTCACTACAGTAGAAGCTTTTCCACTGGTTTCAAAATAAGCAATGTCAAAAAAGGAATCTCGTCTCCAAAATATCTTAAGAGTTGCTTCCTTGCCTCCCATCAGGATAGCATTGGTTCTTAACAGGCAAATGACTCATGATCCCAAAGTTGTTTGATGAGACCTCCTAACACAATCATATTTTTTCAATCTTTAAAATGCCATGGGGGTACACTTTGGGATCCAGACTGTGAGGTGAGGTGGCAGGCTTAATGTCAAGGGTTCCCAATCCAAAAGTGGTATCAGTCACCAAGATGACATCCAGTGCACCATCTTCTATATGCATACTGACTGAATGAAGGCCACTATGAGAGGTTTGTTTGTTTGTTTGTTTGTTTGTTTACATATCTTACGACTCCAGCATGATGGTGATCTTGGAGAAATAGCCCAGGGCTGCTTCCTTTTTGTGTGCTTCTTACTCATGTGGAGCAAACATGGCTACTGTAATGTTATCTTCCTGTCCCCTCCTTGCCCCCATTGTTAATAGTAATATCAGTGAGCTGACTTCACTGGAGAGCCAGCATTAAGAAAAAGAGCCATCACTGTGCCCATTGCAAACACACACACACAGATCCCAAAAGGAGAGAGTGAGAAAGAGATGGATGCATATTTTACTTTAGTAAAAGTAAAATAGTCAGTCATGGATGTCCAGTGTTACACTGAACCAGGACAGCGTAGTGGTTAAAGTGTTGGACCAGGACTAGGGAAATCCAAATTAACGCCGCCCTCAGCAATTGGAAGCTAATCAGGTGACTTTGAGCCAGTCACAATGTCTCAGCCACCCCTGGTTAGGGTTTCTTTTTAGGGTTTTTTTTTTTTGGTGGCAATGGGCAAAAATTGTGTGCTGTGTGCTTCAGGAGGAATGGAATGATGATGATGATCTAAGCACTGCCTTAGAAGAAGGAAAGAGGTGCCCAAGAATGATAATTTATTAAGCAAAATGAGTAAGAATATAAGCAGGCTGGCAGTACTTTCTAGTTCAGGACTTATTTCTATCTTGTTTAAGAAACTACCCACTTCTCCACCCAGCATTCTTCTCTTCTGAATCAAAGTTGCTTCAAAAGACACCTTTAAGATGAGGCCGTGCTGCTTCTTGATCCCTCCAAGTAATTCTTAAAAATGCAGGATCTATACTGATTCATAACAATAAAGGCCAAACCACCGGCTGGCAACCCCACCATGGGGACTACTCAGAAGCAGGTGTAAGCTTTTTGTCCTCCAGAAAGGAGGTTAAAGGACCTGGGATAAGGAAGAAGCAAAAAAGAGTAAGGAAAAAAAGAGAAGGCCAAATATTAAGCGTTGAAAGTCAGTCTCAGGACGGAGAATCCAGACTGAATACCTTTGTCGTTTGTAGTTGCAAACACCAGGTTACAACCAGCCTTCAGGAACGGAGTGGCAGTTTCTCATTCCACGGAGGTGGGTGGGTGGGTAGGTGGCTGTGTGTGTGTGTGTCACCGCGTGTATTTGCGCGCGCGCGCGCACAGTTCTAAAGCAAAGGTGGGGGCAGGCTGATTCGGTAGCTAACTACAGAGGAGGCAGCTGCCTCGGGGCCTGCAGATCCAGAGTTTCCCCTTGCCGGCCACTCCGTGACCGCGACCAACCTGATCGCACCAGGTAGGGCTACTCTACTTCTGGGCTGCAAAAATCCGACTGCCGCTAGCTTGCAGCAAAACGTCCGAGTTTTCGGCGCCTCTTTGCTGCTAGGTTTTGCGGTCGGGATTTTCCTGCTCAGACACGGTAGCCCGAGCGCAGGAATAGGAGCCGTGGCGCGGGAGGAAGGGCCGCTGTTGCTGCCGCTCCTGACTCAGGCGTCGCCTCGGCAGCGCTGGCGAGGTGGCAGCAGAGAGGCTAAGGGAACTTTGCTGCCCCCTTGTGGTCGTCCGGATTTTTGCAGCCGGTTTCTGGGGCGCCTAAGAGATTATCGGGGGACCAGGTTTTGGACAGGGGGCTTCTAAGCAGGAGAGGGAGAGACCCCCCCAGTTTATATTTTGGAGTAATTTAAGGGAGACGGTCGCGGGGTTCAGGGGGAAGAAGCAGCCGCTGCGGGCCTCCTCCCTTTCTCCTATCTGGCCTCAGTTGCTGAACGGGGGGGGGGGGCTCCCCTACCTCGAAATTGAGAGGCCGCTCTGAGAGGCTGGCCGCGGGGCCCAGAGAGCTCCGCTTGTGCCTTCGGAGGCTGCGGATGTGGGATTTTTTATCCTTCTGGACCAACACACTCGTCTGTATTGCGGATTTTGGCTTTCCAGGGAGGAAGTGTTGGTGGGGCTTTGTTTGTTTAACCCTTTGTTGAAAGTGAAACCATCAGACTGGCATCTGCTTGGCAAGCAGAACTAGCAGAAGCTCACTACCTAATCTCCATTGAAACCTTCTTGGCTCTCCATCAAAATCCTCAGATCTAGCTATCTCCTTTTACCTTAGTTTAAAAAACAGGTTAGACAGTGATAGTTTTACAACTGGAGTCTGTTGGAAATGTGGCTAGAGCAACCAGAGGCAGGTCAAAAAAAAAAAAGTCAAGATGGCAGCTGTGACCACACAAATGAAGCCCCACCCTTTTTATGTGTTGTGCGGGGTCCCTTAAAAGGGACAGGGCTCCTATTATAAAGTCATGGCTGCCATGTTGACTTTTTTATCCCCCCCACCTCCACCCAGACATCCCTGGGATGTGGCAAATACAAAGTGCAGAGATAGATTTCAGAGCAGGTCTTTCTGGACTGTTTTATAATTTGCCAAGGGCCTGCTGCTGAAATGTTCCCAGGTTTGCAATTAGAGTCCTCTAGATACATGACTAAGCAAGCAGGGCCACCACCTGCTTGGCTGGAGCAAGTTTGCCAGGCAACAGCCTCCAACTTGCTGTAGCACGAAGGAAGACGCTCCTTATCTTGATTTCATTTGTCTCTTAGCCAGGCAAGTTGAGGCTCCACATTTGCCTAGACTGCATTGGGAACACCAGCCACCTTATTCTGAGTCAGACCATTAATTTACTAGCCCAGTAGTCTGTGTGGGAGCAGCTCCAGGGCCTCAAGCAGAGTTTTTCACCATGACTGCAGCCTTCTGGCAAGATGGTGGTGACTGAATCTGGGGTATTTGACATACAAAATGTTTATCTGATGTTGAGTTGTATCAGATTTTCCCAAACTGGTGTCTTCTAGATGAGTTGAATTACAACTCCCATCATCTCCAGCTAAGCCATGCTGTATCATATTAACTTCCAAATGCCCCTTAATTCATATTATTAAACAAATATTCCAATTTTAATTCAAAGGGAGGAAGAGAGACAGAATGAATTTGTGACTTCTTGAAAACTGCAGTGTCCTAGTTCGAGAAATCATGATAGATCATGATTTCATGAAGCTCATGATACAACTGCTTATTGAAGTTAAGCAGATCTGGTCAGTATGTGATTGAGAGGTCATGTGGTTACCCAGGAGCTATATTCACACAAGACATTGAACTAGATTTTTTTTTTACTTTTTTCTGTTTTAGTTTGATGTGCAAACCCAACCTTTTTGGTTAATTTATGATTATTGTTTTTGTCTGTGTGTGCCTTCATGACATTGTTGACTCCTGGCAACTATCTGGACTAGTCCCTACAGTTTTCTT